GAGATTCGGCTGCCAAGCCTCAATGATAGAAGTTTGCTGAGGCTGCGGTATAGGACAAATGGGCACAGCGCCATCATATTTTAGGGCTGGAGATTCCCAATTGTCGTAATGGAGAGGAAATGATGCACTTAGAATTTCTATGCCAGACCTTTCCTCATTGACTCATTTCTTGCGGAAAGCAGAAGGGGTGACATTATTGCACCACAACGTTTGAGTATCTCAGACGTAAGTTTACAGGGAGAATGATGCAGATTTTCCATGTCGTTGCAGATTTCCAGGTACTCAAACTGTCTGGCTAGACCTGCTTATTCAGGGAGATTCCTGAACAGTATGTGGGATACAGCCAAGCAGGAGGAAAAAACAACAAGAAGAAAATGTGAGACTGAATACTAGGTAGTTATACCAAAAATGATGCAGATGTATCTTGGCCCTGCAAGAGCCAAGGGCTGTAACCTACAGGAAGCAATGCGGCTGCATCTCTGCTCCAGCTGCTCCCAAGTGCTGCAATGTAAATTACCAAAGGCTGCAATCTACAAATTACGGAGGCAGTCCTGTAGCTTTTCAATGAAGCTCTTTAGCAATAAGTGATTTGTGGATCACAGCTAAGGATGTAATTATCAACGAACTGCTGGCACCCAAGCAGCCCCACTGAAAGCAACAGAATATTCAAGAAAGTTGCCGAAATGTAATAGTTGAAGGACTCATCCAGAGGGCAGGAAAGGCTAGGAATAGGAAGCACCAGATTCAAAATAGCAATACTATTATGCTCCTAATCATTGGTACACAAAACACTTCCTGTTACATCACTACAGCAGTCAGAAAAGTACAGAGGACAAAAAAATCTCAGTCTTGCACGACTAAAGGAAGGCACAGGGGAGTTTGGTGCACTGCATCAAGCAACCTGAGTGCTATTATTGGAAATAACTCTTTAGCAGTGTTTTTACATCCCAACGATGATATGCAGGTATATTATTAACATGACCCTTCATACTATCCTAACACTTTTTCATGACAATTTTGAATCTCCAGGGGTGTATCTGTATTATAGAATTAATGCAGTTTGGCACTATATTAACTGCCAAGGTTCAATGCTATGGAATCCTGGGAGTCATCATTTTGCAAGGTCTGTAGTTTTCTGTGTATCATCAAACTATATATCCCAGGAAATTACAGAATCTTTGATCATGGTAGTTAGGGATTTCTAGGAGTTTTCATCCAAAACAGTAATCTCTCTGTATTGTCGAAGGCTTTCATGGCCGGAATCACTCAGTTCTTGTGGGTTTTTTCGGGCTATATGGCCATGTTCTAGAGGCATTTCTCCTGGCGTTTCGCCTGCATCTATGGCAAGCTTCCTCAGAGGTGAGGTCTGCTTTGTTTGTTTGTTTACCCATCATCTCTGAGTTAAATATTTCTTTAGCACCCCCCCCCCGCCCCATCGTCCCCGATCTTGGCAAAGGCACAATGCTGCACTCAAAACTGGACTTTGGAGACAACGTCTGACACCCTGCAGCTAATGAGACTGATGCAGAGAGGGTGAACTATGTGGACACTGGATGAATAGTATATGAGGTGGGCAGTGGAAAATCTGCGCAACTTATTTACTGGACTGGCATGGACATGCTGGTCGCTACTGTCTCTTTTTCTCTTGCTTGCAAATGAATTTAACAGAGACTACGTGTTTGCATATATATATATGGTTCCAGATGCCCATTTTACAATTTTTGCTTTAAAAATATATTATCATTTTCTTCTTGGAAACTGTGTGCATTACCATGCAAATGTGTTGAGCATCAGGAGAGCAGCAGTAAACTAATTTAACACACAACATGAAAGATGGTGCACAGATAGGCAACTTAAGGAAAGTAAACCCAGCTTTAGTGTTCTCATACATATGCTGCTGAAATGGCTTGTTGTTCTCCAAGCTGGGAATTTTAAAAGTTTGTTTCCTGAAACTTTTGAGTTGTTTTATCTCCACAGATCATGATACAACTGTTTGTAAATTTGGATTACAACTCCCAGAATCCTCCAATCAAGTTAGCTGTGAGATTTTGAGTTATAGCCCAAAGAGTCAACTTGTCCAAATGCTGATTAGATGTTTCATAAAGTCACAGTTCAAGTTACTGTCCTAAGTAGGAGAGGGATCAATGGTGATAAATAAATACACCTCTAACAATAAATATAAAGATAGCATTAGTAAATTCAGTTTATCCACAAAAGCTATGCCAGTTGTGGGAAACTTGCCTGGATTTCTCATAATCCCATAGTATAAACCTTGGTTGACAGTAAAGTTATGGAAAATACAAACCCAAAGTGACTTTTGTCAAAAAGGCGCTGCTCAAGAAGACCTGTGGTTAAAACGTGTAGGACAACTGACCTTTAAGCCTCAGGCAACAACCAGCAAAAGTTAATTGTGACTAAGTTCTACTGAAAATAATAGAATGAGACTCAGTCACGACTCATTAAGTTCCATCGATTTCCAATGGCTTAGCCACTGCTAACCTTTGCTAGAGCTGGATTGTGTCTGTTGCGCTTTAACAAACAATGGCAGTACAACAGCCTTTGTGCTGTTTTTAAAAAAGGATTGCTAAGATTTGCTCGTGTTGCTATTGTCTATGTAAATATGAAGGTTTTCTTTTCCAATTATGCTATTTATTTCAAGGGGATAAGCTAGGAAAATCACACCATATCCAAAGCAAAGTAGATGTTGTCTTTTTGAAGAGAGAAGGAAAACGGTAAAAAAAAAATACCATTCAGAATCACTGCTTGAGGGTGAGATTAATCTCTTGCCTTTCTGATTTTAGATAAAAGGGTAAAGCAGGAACAGAGGAGTGGGGTTAAATTAGGTTGATGGCGCTAGGTTTTAACCATTTTCCCCAGGTTGTCAGTTTCTACTGTCTCGATCCCTGTTCGTCACACAGAATATGCATGCTATGGCACCTATAAGCCTCTCCCATCAGGTAAACCAGGGGTCCTCAAATTAAGGCCTGGGGGCCAGATACGGCCCTCCAAGGTCATTTACCCAGCCCTCACTCAGGGTCCACCTAAGTCTGAAATGACTTGAAAGCATACAACAACACAACAACAACAACAACAACCCTATCTCATCAGCCAAAAGCAGGCTCAAACTTCCAATGGAAATACTAATAAGTTTATATTTGTTAAAATTGTTCTTCATTTTAATTATTGTATTGTTTTAAAGTGGTTTTGCACTACAAATAAGATAAGTGCAATGTGCATATTTATTTATTTATTTACTTATATACCGCTGTTCTCAGCCCAAAGGCGACTCATAGGAATTCATTCTTTTTTAAAATATATATATAATCTGACCCTCCAACAGTTTGAGGGAGTGAGACCTGCCCCTCTGTTTAAAAAGTTTGAGGACCCCTGAGGTAAACTAATGGGTGATTTTGATTGCAAAACACAACCTAACAGTGAAAGGGTTAGCTTCTTTTCAGTGTTGTGGCCCTAATCTTAATATCTTCCCTTCTTTTGAAATTAGAGACAAGCTAACATGCACCCTGAAAACTTCATGACTTCAGCCACAAGTCAAGCTTTCCCCTTCTTCTCCCTCTTAGCTGTTTGTTAACCTCTTGCCCCATGAACAGATCTGAAAATTCTGGTATCTTGCCTATTTTTACAAAATTCTAGTTGGCCTCATTAAAGTGCTGCCCTGGCCTACTTTTGACTTCAAAATGATGCACAAGAGCACTGTGTTCACTAATGGTTACTCTTCATTCTGGAGAGAAGTGACTAGTAGGACCTCGGGGTACTGCCTTGGCCCAGTGTAAAAATGTTGGTTGAATAAAAAGCATCTTTACCACATTTGCAGAGAACATCAAATGGGATGCAATAGCAAATACTCCAGAGGACAATAAGAAAACTCAAAATAACATACCACACATTCTCACCTCAGAATGACAACAGTTTGATGCCACTGCAACTGCCAAGAATTCATCCTATGGGATCTTGGGATTTGTAGTTTGTTGTGGCACCAGACCTCTCTAATGGAGAAGAATGAATATCTCACAAAATATAAATCCCAAAACTCCATAGCCTTGGAGCATGGCAGTTAATGTGGTGTCAAATTGCAATAACTCTGCAGTGTGGATACAGCCCTTGACAGTATGGAAAGTTGGGGCAAAACTAACAAAAAGGATGTCAACATGTGCTACATTGAGGAAGGAAAAATGGGAAACACCAATATAGGATAAATGATAATTCCACTGAATTCAGTATGTGCAAAACAGATCTATAGAGTCTCAGTAGACCACAACTGAATTGTTACTTAACAGTGTGGTGCAGAAGCCAAAAAAGAAAAGAAAAAAGAAAAAGAGCAGTGCAATTCTGGACTGCACTGACAGGAACATAGTGTCTAGATCAAGACAATAGTTGTTCCACCCTAATCTGCTTTGGTCAGATCTCACCACAATCCAAGTGGGATATCTACAGAGAAGGATGACTAAGACGGTCAAAGGCACGTCCTATTTGGACTGGTTTAGGGAGATTGGTATGTTTAATTTGGAGAAGAGAAGGCTGAGCTATATCTAAATATCTGAAGAAATATCATGCAGAAGATGGGACTAAGCTTGTTCCAGAGACAAAAACATGAACCAGTGGCTTCAAATGACAAGAAAAGAGATTACATCTAAACATTAGGAAAGCCCTTTTTGGTGTAAGAGCTCTTCTATATTGGAATGCACTTCCACAAAAGATCTGTCTTTGAAGTTCATTAAACAAAGTTAGGATGGCATCTTTCAGAAGAGTTTTGGTTGCCTATTCCTGCATGGCAGAGGATTGGACTAGAAGGCCCTTGTGGTACCTTTCAACTTTTAGATTTTGTGATTCTACCCTCCAACTGGATATTCTGTTCATAACTCTCCCATATCACATCTAGCCAACACTGTTCTGGCCAGCTCTGACAGTAAGGATGAGGGGTTGTAAAAAGGGTCAGTTTTGGAGTTAGAGACCAGCAGCTTCCAGCAACCCTCCCAGCCTACCTTAGTTACTGAAGAAGAGCCTTCAGCAGCAGCTACCACTTCTCAGCAGGAGGAGCAAGCAGAAGCCAGGACATCAGGACAAACTGATGAAGGGTTAAGTTTTCTGTCCCTTTTACAATTCAGACGTGAATGTGCTGCAGAGGTCTGATCGATTAGCAGAGAAATAGACTCTTCACAAGCAACATCTGAAATCATAAAATAAAAGGTTCTCAAGTTTTCAGTCTTGTTGAGTGAGGCAACATCTTGTTTCGTAGTGAAACACTAGACTGTTCAGATTATTGATTTTGATGACTTTGGACTTCTGCATTTGAGTTTTGCCTTTAGCCTTGTACTCTGCTATTTTCGACCTGTCGGCTTTGTTGACACTAGAATTGGAATTCATCATGGCACAGAGGGTTAAAGCACTGAGCTGCTGAACTTGCTGACCGAAAGGTCGCAGGTTCGCATCCGGAGAGTGGCGTGAGCTCCCGCTGTTAGCCCTAGCTTCTGCCAACCTAGCACTTCAAAAACATGCAAATGTGGGTAGATCAATAGGTACTGCTCTGGCAGAAAGGTAACAGTGGTCTATGCAGTCATGTCAGCCACATGACCTTGAAGGTGTCTACGGAGAATGCCGGCTCTTCAGCTTAGAAATTGAGATGAGCACCAACCCCCCAGACACGAATGGATTTAATGACAAGGGGAAAACCTTTACCTTTACTATAGTTTTTGGACTTGGAACTCAGACTGTGTATCAATCCCAATGGATTGTACCCCAAGTAATTTGGCTCTGGGCTATCTATGTGTTATTATTGGGACTTTGTTTGAATATTATGTTATTTGTTTACTGTAACTTAGCATAAACACAACAAATACTAAGAAGGGGGGGTTTAATTTGATTTTCATGACATCTTCAAAGAGCCACTTCATGTCAACTTCAAGGTTCCTGCAACCCCTCCCTTCATATTTTTAATGGTTTTGAACTGGACATCTTTTCAAACCTTACAATAATTAAGAAGGAAATGTGGCTATTCTGATACTGTCTCTAAAGCATCAACATGCTATCCAAAAATCAGAATAAAAAATAACCAGTTACTTGCAATTAATTTCTTATGCTAAAACAAAAGTTTAATGGTTTTATCTTCTTAATATGTCTCTGTTGATGCAAATGGATAGGTGATAGAAAGACAGACAGACTGACAGATATGCCCTGTATTTTATTCAGAATGGGAAACTCAACATGGCTTGCAGGAACTGAAACATATAGATGAAAATAGGTCTGATGCAGATACCACTACAATGTTTTTTTAATTACGGTACATTGTGTAGTTTTACTAAATAATTATTTAGCATGTTAAGCAATGATTATGATTATCACAAAGTAGTCTAACTAGAGATAATGTTTTGCAGGATAAATGCATTTTTTTGTAATGTAACTAATTTTAGCTGCTTTTACAATTGGAAGTGCATGACTTCACTAAATGGTAGTGAAGGTATAGGTATATAGGAGGTATATGGTTCAAATACTGACATATGTTCTGTAACATGCTGCCATCTCGTGCTGTCATGGATTTTGAGGTGGCCACAAGGTGGATGGGAGGGGACAAAATTTTGTACCCTAGGCAACCGGTTTATAGAATTCAGATGTTGTGTTATTCTAAAAAAATAACTTGACTATTTAAGGACTTTTAAACTTTCATTAGGAATGGTTCTCCATACATTATTAGGCTGCCACTGTCAACAAGCCTAGGAAGCATACCCAAAAGTAATGAATGCTGGAAGGTTTGATAAAACAACACCTGCCCTTATTAATTACGTTTTGAAAGAAAGTTTCCAAGTATGACCGTTGCTCTTAGAGATAGTACAGAAGTATTTATTTATTTATTTATTTGAAACATTTATATTCTACCCTTCTCACCCCGAAGGGGAATCAGGGCGGAGCACAGCATACAAACAGCAAACATTCAATGCTGGAACAATGCTTTATTGCATTGTTCTGAAAGCTTGGTTCCACAGCTAAGTTTTTACTATCCTTCTGAAGGACAGGAGGGAGGGGACCAATCTGATCTCACCAGGAAGGGAGTTCCATAGCCAGGGGGCAATCACAGAGAAGGACCTCTCATCCCCACCAACAGGTCCTCCACATTTGTAGATTTCACATTTGAGAGTTTAATTATTCATGGATTTGATTAAAAGGATCTCTCTACAAATCTCTAAGTCCTCCAGTGTGCAGAAGTAGAAGACCACAGAGTCATGCCAGAGAATTTAGAAATTCCTGGAGAGGCGTTTTCTCCGGTAACAAAAAAGCAGTTCTCTATCTGCAGGTCTTCAGTTTCACTGGGGTTCTGTGATTTTATCATCAGCAAAGGCTAACTACTAATCTAACAGCAAATCTATTTATCTGAGCTAGACATTCTGATCAATTTATTTGCTGTTTTGCATAAATAGTGGTTGCCTGTTTATTTGGATTAAAACTCCATAAACAGATTAAGACCAAATACTTTAAAGTACCACTGACACTCATATGTATGGCCAAAATGTAAAAACAGCACAAGGGCCTGATTTCTCAACCATCTGCAAGGCTAGTAAACACCATGGACAGAACCTTTCCTAACCTGGGAAATAAAATTGACCCCTTCATTGTGGGCTTTTGGCCAGGCAATAACTTTTTTTCTCAATCCTGTCAGTTTTTGAATAATCATTCTCTTGTATCTGCTGCTGTTTGGTTTTTTTTTTTAAAAAATTGATTGCTGTATCTGATCTATTGATTTATGTGGTATTGCTGTACATTTGTTGTGCAATCTTATTACATTATAATATTTTGATGCTGCCTTTTCTGTGATCTTATTACATTGTTTTATTGAGTACTGCAAAGTGCCTTGGAAAGATAATCTATCCCAAAGGGTGGCTTAAAAATATATCAGAAGAGACAGATACTGGAGAGCACCCAACAAAATCTACTGGAAAAGGGGGAAAATACATCTCCAACTGCTCAGCAGATGGTCTTTTTATTTTGTTTTGTTTTGATAAAAGCCCACCATGTTTTGGTCTATGTACTCAAAATGTATAGTAAATGGAATGAGATTTTCAGCTCCAGAAATTTCTGTGGTGAGAGTGCATATTACCCAAAGAAGACCATTGAAATATATACATAATCTGGAAGATTTAGGGCCTTTTTCAGAAAGGAAGGAAGGAAGGAAGGAAGGAAGGAAGGAAGGAAGACCCCCCCTCTTTTCCTTGTGGATTAAACATTTATCAGACAAGCAAGCATACAGACCAATATGTATGCATGCATGCATGTATGTATGTATATGATGTCAGCAAATGAAATAAAGGCATGTTACTAAAATGGTAGTCTGTGGACCATTGTTGGTCCATGAGACATTCTCTTCTGGGCCATAGAAAGTTTCCAGGAAAGAAAGCATTGTGCCCACTGTGAACCAATATGATAATAATCCTTGGCTCCTTGGGGGGGAAACTGCCAGTCCCCACACCAGGTAGCATAGGGTAGTGGTTTGATTGATGGACTCTGTGAAATCAACATTAAAATTTCTGTTGGGCTCTAGAAACCCACTGAGTGACCTTGAGCCAGTCACACTCTCTCACCCTCCAAGGAAAGCAAACTCCTAATGAATCCTGCCAAGAAAACCCAGTTATCAGAGTGCCTTAAAAGTTGTTGTAAATTGGAAATGATTTGAAGGCATGCAATTACAACAACAATCACATATCAGTAGCCTAACAAATCTTGATCTAAAGGACAATATTACTTATTCTTCCTTAATCTGCTTTGACTTTTATTCTTCAAAACTGGAATATTTGTTCAACAGGGCAGCTGCTAAGGGCCTCCTGGGGGCACAGCGGGTTAAACCACTGAGATGCTGAACTTGCTGACTGAAAGGTTGGCAATTTGAATCCAAGGAGCGGGGTGAGTTCCCATTGTTAGGCCAAGCTTCTCCAAACTAGCAGTTCGAAAACATGCAAATGTGAATAGATCAATAGGGACTGCTTCAGTGAGAAGGTGATGGCACTCCATGCAGTCATGCTGGCCACATGATCTTGGAGGTGTCTATGGACAGCACTAGTTCTTCAGCTTAGAAACAGAGATGAGCACAACCCCCCAGAGTCAGACACAACTAGACTTAATGTCAGAGGAAACCTTTACCTTTAGGGCAGTTGCTACCATGACAATTTGGTGACAACTCCCATATTAGTGCTCTATAATGAAAAAACATTTCTGCAACACACGATGTGTCTTCTTTGTGAAAGGATAAAGAAACCAAATGGCAAGAGCCAGGACCACAGCAGCAAATAATAAGGTTGTTTTAAGAGTATCTGTTGATCATGACATTTTAATGACATTGAGAGGGGATTGTTGAGTAATAAAAACTACTTTAGGGTGCTGTGTGCAGACTGTGAACCCCATGACACCAACCCCCCCCCCCCCATCCTACCTGTATCACCTCTCTCTTTTTATTTAAACCTTTCCACAAAAATTCAGTTTTCCATCAAGTTATGGCTTACCATCTCAGGGTCAAACTCAGCAACAATATCAATATTTTTGTGCCAGTTTTTAAAATGCAAACTGCATCCGCAACAGCAGCAGGGATGGAGGCTGCTAATTAATCACAGCAGGTATAAAAGGGTGGATTTAACCCTTTCTCTCCTTGTGTTTTATTGTTCTTTTTGAAAATCCCTCTTCTAAGTAACTGTGATGAATCAAATGCCCTTGGACACACTCAGTGTTTGCATCCCTCCCTTTGTACTGTTAAGCATTTGTGCTCAACAAGTCATGCATCCAAATCCAGTTGGGGGCACTTGGGATATGTCTTTCAGGTAAGAAAGAAGCTTTGGAGAACATTGTGATTAGGGACACTGCAAAGAAGCATTCTTAACTTTTCGTCCCAAACTCCCATCTTCTCTTTTCTGATTCAATTACTTCTAATCCTTGGGATTCCCATTGTGGAAGCTGTATTGGGAAATGTGTGGCCACTGGAGTTTCACGAGAAATATTAGTCTGGATATTCTTTAGGAAGACACGTTTCCTATAAGGCAGCCAGGGTGGAGGAAAAGCTGAAAAGTGCCAAATATATATAGAAAGAACACATATGCACGAACACTCATGCATAGATTGAGAGAGGAGGGAAATCTTTGCCAAGAACAAAGGGTTTCTAAAGTTTTCACTCTGATTAATGAGATCATGAACGTT